CAACATGACCAAGCTACGAAAACAAGATCAAACAACTTCTATCTACTGATAGTTTGCAAAGCAATTCACTGTTTTTTAAACGTAACCTTTCTTCCTTTACCCTTTACCTTTTTCCCTTAAATTCTTGTATCGCCTTACTTTATAACCATTTATCTCAGGCGAACGATGCGCGAACATCTGGCAAGTACCCTGCAACCTACTGCATCTGCGGCGTCTGAAGCTAAGCCAAACTCTTCTCATACTGGTCATAGCATAAACGATTGGGATGAGCTAACTAGCCTCATGCTTACTACAGCCGAGGGCTTGAGCCTACCTGTCGAGAGAGTGATAGAAGACCTTTTACTCCCCATACTCAGTTGTTCTCGAACAAATGAGGAGTTAGAAAATGAAGTAGGTCGATCGAATTTTCGAGATCACTACCTGCCATCCAACACGCCTTCAAAACGAATGCCTTACTATTGGACTTAACTTAAATCTATAACTTTTCAATTCTTCTCTTCACTAGCACCAGATTGCAGATAACATAAATTGAGCCCCTTTTTGAGTTCATTTTGCTCTTAATGAATTATTGTGCAATCTGTGTCGATAATGAGTTAACATCAGCCAAAATGCTTCCAACCTTAAGTTTCTCCTTGCTTCGCTCGCCAATTCAATAAGATTTGAACCCAGGGTGCGCGGATTTAGATTCATACTTTTTTATATCCATTGTTTTATACAGGGAGTATGAGATTGAAGGCTTTCCTTTGTTCCCCAAATCAATTATCTGCAAGACTTATCGTGCTTTCTTTAGGTTTCCTTCAGCTTCGAAAGAATGGACATCACTTCTTGTTACTACTGTATGGAATGAATTGGGCAACCTTCTTAGCAATCATTCCAATTAAGGACTTGCGTGTGACTGATAGTCCATCCTAACTCTCATGTTAGTTATTTATGCCTTTGAAACCACCAGCAAATTGTTTCTACTTTAAGACTGATAGCTCAGCAACTTTCCAAAAAACGATCGTAGAAGATAGCCTGTATACAGTCTTTTGCTCCTCTAAGAGCTTTGGCTCCATTTTTGTATCTTCGCCATTGAACTTTTAAAGGACTAATATTTACTCCATGATAGCATAGACTATAGGTTTATATGACATTTTGAGCTGTTTCAAAAAGTTACTCGAATCTCATAATCGAGTTGCATTTTTCCAGTCCTCAAATTGTGTGGTACTTATGTTATACAGGGTATTTATGTTTTATTTTTTTATTTGTGTTGTATGCCTGTTATTTATTTACTCTTGGTGAGTC